TCTAATGTTAAATATGGTTGTTCAAACAAGAACAAAAGCACAAATGTTTCAAGACTTACTCAATAAAACTTATTGTTTACTCAAGTAATTATTTTAGAACGTTTCGACGTACTCCTTGATCTTATCAAGAGCTTCGAGCATCCGCTTCTTTGCATTGTCCTTGGCGAGGATGGCTTGCTCAATGGTGAGCTCGAAGGCTTCTTTACCGATCGGAGGTGTCGCGAAGATCTTTGAGTGCATCAAGAGCTGCAGTGTACTCTGATGGTAAATGGGAGCCATCTAGTAATGGGTACAAAATGAGCATGTACTCCTGCAGTAAGTTCTCCTGTTTCAAGCGGGACTTGAACTCTTCGCGGAGATCTTGAAGCTTTTGGAGCTTCTCAGTGGCTTGAAGGTAGTCAATGATGACCTTCTCTTGTTCCTCAAGTGCTTGTGGGAGGAAGTGGACATAAGCTGTTGACTTCATGAAAAATGAAGTGGTCATGACATGACTTTTTAAGTTAATGTCCGAGCCATACAGTGATGTCGAAGCAGCACATGAACCAAAGAAGAAGTCTTGCTGGGAAAAGACAAAGATTGTTGGTAACGCAATCCTAGCCATTTGTGTTGTTTTGAACTTGATCGTACTTCTGATCTTGTTCTACAAACTCAACAGAGGTTATTGTCTCAAGTAAACACTTATTTTTATTACCATATAAATGATTTTTACCAAACCTCCTTTACCTTTCATAGGTAATAAGTCGAAGATCAGGAAAGATCTTATCGACATACTCAAAGACATCAAAGGGGATTATGTCTTCGTTGACCTCTTTGGTGGTTCTCTCTATATCTCTCATCTGTTGCATATTATGTTCCCAAAAGCAACGATCATAGCTAACGACTATGATAACTACGTTGATAGACTGAAACACATTCATGACACGAATGAAATACTTAAGGAACTTAAGGAGAGAATAAATGTTAAGCCAGATGAGAAAATTCCTACTGATCAGAAAGAGATCGTCAGAGAAGTTATAAGTAAAGCTCCATACATAGACTGGGATACATTATGTTCACGTCTTCTCTATTCTGGAGCATACAAATACTATGATCTTGACACATTAATGAAGAAAGTGTTATACCTCAGATATACTAACTTATTTGGTGAAAACATAGATGACTATCTTGAAGGTTTAACTATTGTTCATAAAGATTGGAGAATACTCTTCAATGAGTATAAAGATCTTCCCAATGTTTTCTTTATATGTGATCCTCCATACTTCCATACTTATTCTATACAGTATGGAGATGAATGGACTCTTAAAGATACTGTAGAAACCTTTGATGTCCTTAATTATCCATCTATTTACTTCAGTAGTGATAAATCTTATACAGAAGAACTTATAGAGATATTGACAAAAAGATATGGAGAGAAATTTCCTATGAGAAAGCATGTTATAGATAGAGGTTTAATTAATCCTAACACTCAGAAAAATAATGAAGTAATATATGTCACTTTTTCTGTTAATGGAGAAGAGAAAGATCAAGAAGATAATAGTTGATGAGGGAACTGAAGAAGCGACGACATTCATCTTTGACGACGGAAAGCTCACATTCGTTGTCGATAAAAATGGACAACACTTACACAAAAGAAAGAGACCAAGAAAATTTTTAGATCTCCCAAAAGCTAGGAAACCAAAGGAACCATTTCCAGTACCAGCCGTCCAAGAACCAGAGAGACTTTTGATACCAAAACCTGTGGTTGACAAATATGATCCAGATCAGTTCTTCCCAAAAATACCAAAGTTAGAATAAAAACTCCTTTATTTCTTTAGTATTATATAATAAGTCTATTAGTAAGCTCTGTTCTCGTTCTGTTCTGGTATTTTGACGTCTTTTCATGGTCTCGCATAATAAGATCATGAACTTTTTCTTGAGATACTCGAAGAGCTGAGGTAAGTTATCATATTCTGGATATGTAGGAAGCATCCCTGCTATCGTAAGTGTTGTATCAATAAGGATTGGACTTATATCGGAAAAGTCGAGATCTGGAGTAGAATAAGAAGGTAAGTCTCTTACATGTAGGTAGTCATTATATGCTTTACGCATGAGACTGAGTTTCTGGAGCACAACTATGAGACTTTGGTTCTGACGTTCAAGTTTGCTTAAAGTTCTCTCCAAGCTTCTGTAATAAACGTCAACCTCTGTAAGAGCAGATATTTTTGCATTGATCTCGGAGATCTTTTCTTGAACTTCACCAAGTTTGACCTTAACTGACGTTTGAGCTCCCATCATGTTTTCATCAAGGTCATTCTCTATGTCATCAATGATATCTTCCCATGAGTCATTTTCATCATTGATCTTAACGTGAACACTCATGAAAAAAATGTCAAAAGTGTTTGTAAATGTGTTTTACTCTTGAGCTTCTTCTTCTCATTGACTCGTCTGTAGGGCTTAATGTGCCATCACGTTCGACCAGAAGGTTCTGCTCAGGTCTGTCAAGGAGCTGTCTGTAGGTCGTGAAGGTTTCAACGAGTCCTTGGTAAGGAGTTTGGAGATCAACATCGACCCATGGGTGTTTGCGTAAGAAAGCAGCAAGGCTTTCACGCTTGGAGTCAATGACATCTTTCTTATTGGTTAATCCTTCTTCAAAGCTTAGGATTACTCCTGCAGTTGATTCAAGTCTTTGGATCTGGCGTCTGGAAACCTTGGTGAGTTGTCTTATCTCTCGTTTCCAAATACATGCAGGAGATATGCAGAAATTACTTCATTAAGTTCGATTAAACAAATTGGATGAAGATCAGTCATGGCTTTTGTAAAGCAATCTTTTGTAAAGCTGTCTTTTGTAAAGCAGACTTTTGTAAAGCAATCTTTTGTAAAGCAATCTTTTGTAAAGCAGACTTTTGTAAAGCAATCTTTTGTCAAGACGTCTTTTGTAAAGCAGTCTTTTGTAAAGCAATCTTTTGTCAAGACGTCTTTTGTAAAGCAGACTTTTGTAAAGCAATCTTTTGTCAAGACGTCTTTTGTAAAGCAAAAGTATTCAATTTTGTGAGAAAATGCTTTTGTAAAGCAGTCTTTTGTAAAGCTGTCTTTTGTCAAGACGTCTTTTGTAAAGCTGTCTTTTGTAAAGCAGTCTTTTGTAAAGCTGTCTTTTGTAAAGCTGTCTTTTGTAAAGCTGTCTTTTGTAAAGCTGTCTTTTGTAAAGCAGTCTTTTGTAAAGACATAACCGACGACCGAATGTCCCAAGATGGTACAACACCAGCTCCAGCATCACCAACACTAGATATGATGGCAATGATGATGCAGATGATGCAACAGCAAACCCAGCTTATACAGCAAATGCAGGAAAAGAAAACTTTCAATAAACCTGCAAAGAACTCACAAGATCTTGAAGCTGGACTCAATGCTCTCAGGAACGACTACAAGAGAGAGCAGATGACGTTTAGGAAGAAGGGTGATGAAGATTATGAGAATGATCCGATCGAGGAAGACGAGATCAAGTCCACTGCATCCACAAAGACCCTCCAGGATGAAAGAGATGATGAGGGATTCCTTACCAAGTCTCAAAGACTCTTTGTCCTTGAGTTCTTCACGATCTCTGCCTTGAGATCTATGAGGAATTGGAAGGGTCGCGTTCCAAGTGGCTCAAACAAGCGCGAACTACTCATGACCGCAGTACCGCTCACTAAGACAAAAGTCCAGCTCATGGACTTTATCCTTTCCGCTTGTCCCGACGAGATCTAAGATCTGATCAGAGTAAAAACTTACATTTATGAGCTAAGCTCAGTAATAATTAGTTGTTTATTCTTTCTTCTCATACTTCTGTGCAAGGTTTCCACGGAAGAACTCAAGCAACATTTGGATCTTTCCAAGCTTTCGACCTTCTTTTTCGAGGTCATCCTGGTAAGTTCGGAATGCGTCAACGTGTGAGCTCGCATAGAATGCAGCAACAACAACCTCTTCTGCACCTTCTTTGCTGTCAAGTGGCATGAACTCGAATCCTTCCATTCGACCAAATAAAAGTGACAAAAATGTCAATGAGACCCACTCGTTGCATAGATGCTAAACCTGGTCCGAAGATGCAAAAGTTCTTCTTAACACTCATGTCTGACCATAGGGAGTACGGTCATGAAGAGGTCATACAGATCTTCGATCAGTGTGTACCAAAACCTGAGAATCCAGACGAACTCTTCATGAAAATTTACTTGCTTCAATGGAGAGATGAGAGAACAGATATGAAACTCAGACCAATACCAATCTTTCTAGGTTTCTGCAATTACCTAGAACAAGCATACCAGATTAAAGGGTCTGACACCATCTTCCTCCAAAAATAAACTTTATCGTTTATAATGCATCAGGATCTACATCTATTTCTTCTGCTTCATCCTCAATGTCGATCTCTTCGACAGGTTTGATAGCAGCTTTGAGTAAGTTCTTACCCATTGTCTTAAGTTCAACTGGGTTATATTCTTTGTCTTTACTCTTTGTTGATTTCGTGAGATCTACATATAAACAATAACTTTTAGTCTTGTCAAGGTTTATTCTCGCTGAGAAATGGTCAGGAATGTTTATAGCTATCTTTTCAAACTTAGTAAATTAGCTAAACCTTCATTTGTGTATTTCTGCTTATCGACAAAGATCATGATCGGACTTGCACTATAACCATACTTTCCTTGACATAATGTTTGTGGTAAGCATATAAGTAGTCTCTTTGCTGTTTTATTTTGCTTCTTCACTTCATCTACAAACTGTTGGATCTTAAAGAACTTTATATGATGTTCAGACATCTTTATATACCCGATAAAAAGTTCAGATAAAAAAATAATTAGCTATATTTTTATTAGTGCATAAATGAGTCTTTCTTTGAGATTTTCTGATGAAGATCTAACTTTGGTAAGATCTTTAAAAGATGATGAAAACATTCTTTCTGTCATTGATGAAGAAAAGAAATACTTCAGTAATGATGTAAAAATAGAGCTACTCATTCATACTGAGAAACAGTTTGTGATCGTGATCTTGAGTTAACCAACTCGTATCCAAGCGTGCATTGTTATATAAGGAGGCATATAATCTTTTCCATTACCTGCTGGGTCTGTAATGCCAGCTACAACATGTGTATGATTTCCTGCAGTTCCACAGAAAATACCTGTGCTTGAATCTACTGGGTCACTTGAAATATCATATCTATGCATTCCCTGTCTATCCGAACCTGCTGCAAGATTTGTATAACCTCTTTTTGTCATTGAATGTGAATGGTTTCCTTCCACAGATGTTCTTCCACTGAACCTATGCATATGTGAAGGAAGGTTTTCAATACCTATTTTCTTTGAACCTCCCATCTTCATTGACTGCGTATTAGTGTAGAATGGAAAACTGTCAACTATTTCATACCATCTACCACCAAATAAAGTGTTTGGATTTATTGGATTCATAGACGTATAAACAGCTCCTATAGGATATATTAAATCATATATGCTCATAGCTCTATAAACATATTCTAAAGAACTTATGTCATTAAATACCATTTGGAATGTATCTCCCGGATGAAATGTTGCATTTGTTCCACTTTTATAATGTAATGTTAGTTCAATAGAATTATCCAAGAAAAATTCAAAAGTATCTGGTTGAAGACCTCTAACAAATTCAAATGGAGTTGCTGGTTCACCATTTATAATTTCTGTTGTAAATGTCATTTTATCTGGTTTCCAAAATTTCTTTGTTAGTTCTGCATCCACATAAGTTTTGTCAGCTTTCTTATCTAACATTGTTGGTAGCTCATGTGTTTCAAAGTTTCTGACATGACCTTCAATGTTCGTACATTTACTATCTAAACTATTAAGTGTATCTCTTACACTAGTGCTTGGATTCTCTAAAGGTGCACTTGAGCCTAAAGTATAGTTCAAGATAATGTCATCAGCTCTTATTTTCTTGATTTGAACTGGTTGGTCATTATCAGCTCCTATTTTATTGATTATAACAGGTTTGTCTTCTCTTGAACGAATTGATTTAACTGTCAAAGGTTCAGTGAACTCATTATTTTTCAAAGGAATCAATGTTGTATTGATGTTTTCACCATTAATATATACTTCTTTTGCATCAATACCAGATGGGAATGAAACTCTTTCATTAACTTTAACTGTTGTACCATCACCTGGGTACATATCTTTCTCTGGACCTTTGATTGTCTTAAGTATGACAGACTGTGATAAAGTATATTCTTTAGATGCAACTTTACGTATCTCTTCGTCAACATAACTTTTGTCAGCTTTGTCTGCAATCTTAAGTGCAGTTCTTCCTCCATTATTTTTGTTCTCCTCAACTTTCTTCGCTAATTCAGCAAGAATGAGATAAAGATAATCAGTAAGGTCATCAGTACCAGACATATTAATATTATTGTTCTTTCTTGATGTATTAGCAACTTTCACTAAGGTCACAAAATCAGGGTACAAAGTACTTAACGTAGAAATGATTGTTTTTGGTCCAGGATCTTTCTCTTCTTCATCATTAGCATCACGTGGCATTGGAATTGGTTCCAAAGGTCCAGTCACATCAAAACTCTCAAGTTCCATATAACCTTCATTTCTGAATCTTTCTATATGAGTTATCTTCTGGAAACTTGTTTTAGTCTTTTCAACTAAATTTTTTATTCCATCCACAAAACCTCCTTTATGATTTGGACCAAGATTACCCAGAGTGTCAAGAACAGTATCTATACCTTCTTGACTTTCAACAAAAGCCCAAAGAGCATTTATTTGACTCTGGAGTGATATCCATGAGGCTGCAGTAGCACCGGCGTTTGCTATGGCAAAGATGAATGATAAAGGGTTGAACTTAAGACCAGATTCTTTATCTTTGACAATTTCAACGAAGTCATTGATATTTTTCTTCAAGTATTCCTTAGTCAGAAGAACTCCATCGCCAGCTATACCAGTTGCTTTTGTCTTTCCTTTAACATCAAATGTGATTGGTTTCTTCAATAAAATAACTTCTGGTGTTGTACTGATGCTATCATTAGTGGAGAAAAATTCTCCGACATGACTTGCTAAGTATTCTTTCGTCAATAATGTTCCATCACCAACAATACCAGTTGCTTTTGGACCATCTTCTGTGAATGTCAATGGTTTCTTTAACATAACTTTATCTAAGTATATTGCAATACCACTATTTTGTACTTGTTCATGACCTAATATATAAGCAAATGCTGCGTTTAAAGCATTATACAATGTATCTTCTTTAAATGTTAATTGACTGTTTTCAATCATTGGTATATTGAACAGTGTAGACCTTGGGTCAAAATGAACTCCATGGTCAATCGATAATAACCGTTTAACATGATATATTATAGTCTCTAATGCTTCATTAATATTTACCTCACGAGTTTCTTGCAAACCATTACTCGCCATACATGAAAACATATAATCTCTATCAGTTGTGAAGAATGGAGCATCTAAGTAATTATTCTCTACTTTTGTCACACGATTCTGTAACGCTTGAAGGTATTGATTTAAGTCTGTTTCAACAATTGTACCATCTGGTTGCTCGATAGGTAATATACCAGGACCGATGGTAATGTCTTCATCAGCACCTTCTTTATGTATGACTAAAGCATTATCAGTAATTCTGAGAGTATATTCTTTATATTGAAGTACGCTAGACTTATAACATTCATATGCATATGGAACAACACTCATTCTTTTACTACATATAAAAATGATGTATTATCTACAATCGACTGATCCTAATAACTACGGGACAATACAGTTTCAAGCAGATCCTAACATGGGGCATCCAAGTAAGATAAAGATGAGAGTAAAAAGTGTCAGTACTATGGCGAACTTTATTGTTTGTGACGAAACAGATTATTTTGTCTTACAGTTAGACGAAGATGGAGAAGAAAAGGTGTGTACATTTAAGTCAGCTCTTTCATTTGATATGGATACTATTGTATCAAAACTACAAGAGATTGTAACAAAACAGTTTGATTATTATAACAAGAAAAAAGGTCAACATAATGTAACAGTTTCACTGAGTGCTACGAATCAACTTATATTTACGTCACAGGACAAAGGACATAAAGTCTATTTAAAAGATGCTTCACATAGAGCAAATCTTATTTTAGGTGCATATGGAATAGAACTACCTATTGTACATAATTATTATCTACAAATGCCAAAACCACCTATGCTCAACTTCGGGTATCAGTTATACCTTCGTTCATCAATGTCTGTCATCTCTGGGTTCAATAATATTGACCAAGTTGATGATCGAAGAAAGATCATGTACAGATCTACATGTTATAACATCAATGAGTTCTGGATATCTGGTAAACCACTTATATGTAAGGAATCCTCACCATGGATAGATGCATTTCCATGGGAACTAACTAATGTTACGTTTACCTTAGTTGACTTCCAAGATCAGCCTGTTCGATTATTGTCACCAATGTTTATGGTGATAGAGATTAAACCAGATAAGCCAGAAGTTAGAGAAACCAATGATGTCAGTGATGATGATACAGAATCTTCGTACGATTATGATTACGATGACGATTAAAAAAAATAACGTATATTTTTTTATCGGTTATAAAAGACCAACATGCTCAATGCTATAAAAGGATTAGTTAATAACCTTTCACCAGAAGATAAGAAAGGTATGCTTGATATGTTTGGGATCAAAATGCCTAAGAAAGCTAAAGACATTACCAATAAATTAGCTCTGGCAATTAAGAATCAAGGAGGTACAGGAAGTGTAGCAGATATTTTCAAGAATGCTAAGAGCTTCTATGATGACTACAATGGTATCATGAATGTTCCAGCTTCAAATTCCCCAGTTGCTTTAGATCACGATCAGAGATCTCATAATAGAGCGTTAATGGAGATGCAACCAATATACTCAGACCCTCCACCAAAGATTGATGAGAGCGAATTAGCATACAAAGAAATACAGAATGCCTTTTACGTTGTTAAGAACATTAATGGTCAAAAACTTCCTGATGAGAAATGGTTAGACCCAATAACTAAAGCAGGAGAAAGATTCATTATGTTTAACATTGACCAATACAGTCCAAGAGGAAAAGATTACTTCAACAAGATGTTTCCAAGAGTTATGGCAAAGTTCATTGGACAGATAGACCTTTTCAAACAGAAGTGGACATTCTATTACGACTTTGATGAGAAGAGAAACATTTTGCGTCATTTGAACATCAATACAATGGGATCATTAGTTCATCAGTTACTTAATGAAGCTCCAATAGCAGAAGTACAAGAATTAGCATCTAAAGTCCTTGAATCAAACTATGACTTCTTCCTTTGTAGTATTCCTTCGTTAAGGAAGATCGAGATCTTTGACTATACAGCTTATTCAGATGTTGATGCTTCTGCTTTGAGAAAAGGAACGTACACACCATATAAACTCACAGCTGAAGAACAAGTTATGTTAGATACGATGAGAGCAGCAGGTCAAGAAAAGATCGCACTCAAGATCATCAAACAAAACCATTCAAAGAAGAGAAACAGGTCACGTAATGGTCAGCTTTGGACATGGACATGCAAATTACCTATTAACTTAGAGAGGTATCAGATCTTCAACGAACTTAATGCAGAGACAGCAAAGAAGATGATGAAAGATTCATGTTTCATCTACGCTTGTATTCAAGCTGGTGTTGACGAAGCAACAATTAATCATATGAGGGAAATCATTCGTGTCAAAGATTTTCCAATGTCAAAGATTAAGGTTATTGCCAAAGAAACAGGAATAAGGTTCCATGTCATCAAATACAACGAGAAGTATTCAAATCATTCATATACTTATGAACCAGATGAAGAACCAAAGATGACAGTAGAACTTTTATTAATGTATGACCACTACATGTTGAACGAAAAGCTTCCAATAAGTTCAATGTTCATCAAGAACTATGAAGATGTTTGTAAGTTGTGCAAGGATTGGACTTTAGAGAAGAAGATGTTAGTTAACAGAAGATATGAAACAAGGTATGCAATTAACTCAAAGTTAGTTACACCACTTGCAAAAGTCATTGAACTCTTGTTTGCTAACAATTATTTCGAACCAATTAGAACAGGAGAACTTTGCACATACTTCACAACGATGTATAATGAGAACCTTGAAGAAATGATTGACCTCACATACAATGAGCGTTATTGCGCAAGGATGAAGAAAGATTGGAGTTCAGAGACGAAGAAAGACATGAAGTTCCCAAGAGAACATGTTTTCTTTGCTGACTTCGAAGCATCAACTGATGGAAACATTCACAAAGCATACAACATTTGTTTCATGGAAGATGACGATGATGGTTATACATCAATTTGGGGAAGTGACTGTGCGTCAAAATTCCTCGAAGCTTTACCAGATAAGAGTTTAGTTTATTTCCACAACTTATCGTACGATGTCACTTTTCTCATGTCTCAGTTAGAAG